ATCTTGGTTATTGGCCAGAAATTTGGGTCAAAATTATTTCATTTGACATGGTATAAAACGTCCAGATGTAGAAACGGGTCGAGCAATATTACGTCAGTGGCAGAATTTGGATTGGCGGGAAAAATCCCGGTTAGAATACTTGAAGTTTATCTAGATTTAGATATGAGAGCAAACTGCCCCCCAAAAAACAGAGACAAATGTCACTGATTCATGTTTATTTTCCGGGTGCGTGCCGAGGAAAGATAACGAGATGGAGATCAATTGTTGCAACCAGTCAAATAATGCAGTTTGAGGAATATCAAGAAAATGTGAAACAGATAAAGTAGGATCAACGAGAACATCCACCGTGCCCCTAAACTGTGGCGTTCATTTCACACTTAGCTTAAATCAGCAGGTGCACCAAAGCTTGTTCCTATTTGCCCTAAATTCATTTTATTTATTTCCTTATCATAGATAATAATAGACAAAGGTCACCTTAAAAAGAACCTTACCTTTATGTCAGCGATTATTTTTCTCCTGAACAAGACACAGGTATGTAAAAGGTGAAGCTGGGTGACCCTAGCGCACATGCTTGCGGCCTCCGCACCGCACACAAGGCATAATTCATTAATGTGTTTTTTAAGGAATTCCACATGATAAACGGTACAATTGTGGATATGAATCATCCATAGTTAAAAGGACGGAGACATTGTCTAAAGAGGACAATGATGCACAGTCATGTAAAAAGCAAATATTTCATCGTAAATAAATAAAGCTCGGTTATTTGAGTAGTTTGACCTGCAGCGATGAATGTGACAATCAGGACATACATGTATCACAAATGAACCTATTTCTACCCACCGAAGAAACGATGATATGATTGATAAGCATGTTTTGTTGATAATTCAATGAAATAGTGAAGTCTTACCTGCAGCAAAGGATATTTAATACCTGCAGTTGCAGGTTTATTAATGAAATATAAGACAAATGTTGTACTTTCTTCTTACAAATCCTCCGATCTCACAGTTCTGTACCTGGTACTGAAATTAGCCTCAAAGAATTTCTCTTCGTCAGTGTCCTATGAAGTGCATCGGAATCAACTGTATATGTTAACTACCCGAATGTTCAGGCTGGTATTATATTCCCCTGTGCTTTCACTTTAACGAGAAAGTTTTTTCTAAAACGAAATCCCTACTGGGCGAGAGAGTCTTATCAGAGTCGCACGCCCCCCTCCTCTCGGAATGTCTCCTGTCCCTTCCAAAGAATGAAATCAATTACAGTGAAATGAACATATTTGTTAGATTTCCATACAACTGTGCGCGCATATCTCAGGAGCCTCTTTCACCAGTTTGATATTAATTGCTCCCCCCCCCCCCAACCTAATTAATTCCACGATGAATCATGTTGTAAGGTTAAAGCTTTTAAATGGCGATATAAGACAGGATGGATTGTATTTGAAAAATTACGATAAAATACATGTACAAAGAACTAGCTTACTATATATTTCTGGTTGAAATCTTGAGCCGAGAAAAGAGGGTAGTTTGAATGTGTGTCTGTTGTAGTCACGTAGGAATTCACTCATAATGTGTTACGCACCGGCAGTCATTTGTGATATGCAAGGAAAATAATGTCAAAGAAAACCAGCAGACGATCTCTGCCCCAGGTTAATCTCATAATTTGTATCCAGATTGTACTGATACAATCCGTCCTCAACACCCTGAGATTCAGATGGTGACTTCTCTCTACCCATCATAGACTTTCCCTTTCTGTTGTCATGTTAGTGTGATGAGTACACTAAAACTCAGGGTGGCTGAACGCATAGTGCAGTATTACCTCATCTGTAGCATACGCGCCTACAGACTAGGGCAGAAGGCTGCCCTCATGTAAGCTTAGTAAATTCCAATTACACATACTCACATAAAAAGCAGTGGTTTATGCTACAGTGTTAAATGTAATGTGATAACAGCATTATTTACATATACTAATTACCTTGCCCAACCTGCTGTCACAGACTGGCGACATTTGGTAGGATTTCACTGCAGTTTATAGATAACCACTTCATACACACGTTAACGGTTGCAAATAGTCTGTACATGTAGCAGTGCAGATGACTGAGGAAAGTGAAAGCATTGTCTATTTAAACTATATGCATTTGCGTCTGTAGTCTTCGGCTGTGTACCCGTGTATTTTTAACTGTTAAGGTAATAGATAGAAAACCGTGTTGCTTTTTATCCTCAAACCTAGTGGAGTGATTCACAGCAATAAAAACAGGACAAGTTTAAATAGCAATCTGATTGGATTGTTATTGTCGAAGTCATGCATGTCTTTCTTTCCTTCTCTCTTTTATTTTTTGAAATTTTACATATTGGCATTTTCAGGAACAGCTTTGAAGTCCCATAAAAGTCCCATAAAATTAATAACTTTAAAAAATTGCCTATTTTTGGCAAAATAGCTCTTATTTAAAATACTGTTAGCGCAAATAGAAATAAACACTTTTAGAGCTCATATTTCCTTTCTTTTGCTTTATTCACCACCCCATTCCCAGTGCCATGGGTTAATTGTCAATTTGGCTGCTTTTAATTAATGATATTAATTGCTAAGCTTCACCCTCAGCTAAGCTTTCAGTGCCCATAATACGGGTTCTCCTCAAGCATCTTACACGATGACCCATCATTCCCCATACTGAACACCACCACTTGCAGTGCAATTCCGACGGCAGGCATCCCCGCTTTTCCTACTCCTAGGAATGAATGGTAAGGCAGCCCTGATGAATGTCATAAACAGCCAAAAATGGAGTTCATGAGAGACAGCTTACAAAAAAGAGATGTAACTGAAAACAGAATTTCAATAAATGGAAAGTAACATCAATAAACTCACTGGAATTTTGAAACACTTGATACGACGTTTGAAAAATTTGTTTAGAAATTGAGAATGTGAAACAAATTGTAAATCCTTTAACTTGACACTATAACGTCAGTATAGACACCATCCTTCCTCCAAGAAATGTCAAGAAATTGTCTAGTACAAAATAATGCTGCATTCACGTGCCTTATAGGGAGGGAGGGAGGGAGAGCATGGGTGCCATTTTCAAGTATAGTTCTCGGATATAAGGTTTCACTGTGTTATTACACCCATCACAACTGTAGCCTGTTCAAAGCCTCAGTCCATAATTTACTAGTTTTGTGCACTACTACCACACTGGAATAGAGTCCACAGCAGGACACACCAGCAGAGAGTGGGACTTCAGTTTATTACTCAACAGACCATTTCACCAAATATTTATGGGTGGGTAACATTTTATGCAAAACCAATACAGCAAGCATTCAACATACTTAGAGACGCCCCCTTCCAGTATCTCTGTTTACCTCGTCCCTAACATGAAAATATGTGACTTCACTTTTCTCATGACTCGCTTGTGATAACATGATAGACATACCGTAATACTATGGATCATGATTTGCAACAAATGTCAGACATTGATTCTATTAATTCCAATGATAATGTCACTGTTCTGACTATACTTTCCAGATGATAAGATATCTACCGCTATCAGAGAGTTAGGACAATAGCATGACTATCAGCCCGATAACGCCTTGGTATTTAATGGAAAATATCGTATGTACTGTTCTGACTTGTCACCGTGCCGGCCAACATGAGGACCCTTATACTTGCTGTCGTGCTGTTGGCGGGGATAGCCTACTCCCAAAAGCCTAAGCCATGCATTACGCCACCTCAGTGGGCGGTAGGTTGAAATGAGAAGATTCTATGTTTTGAAATATTAATAATTGACACAAATTGTATATATCAAATACACCGAAAGAATTGTAAAAAAGATTTGTATGTCGATGAGCCAAATTTTTAACACACATAAGCTTATAATGCGTAGTATGAGGAAAAGGACAGAAAATTCACCAGTTTCATTACGTCTTCAACTTCAATTATTTCGACACTTATAAAGTGTTTATATTGTGTTTTCTTAACTCATTCTTCAGTCCCGGGCGTTTATGTTCGACCATAACTATGGGAACATGGAATATATTAGAATCGTCTATGACGCCATCTATCGACGAAAGATCGTCATCGAGGAGGACGTTGTCGTAAGACCAGGAAGAAGGTTCGACCAAATTTTCAAAATAAGTTTAAAATCTCTTTAAAAGATTTTCATATCACGTATTTGATAACAAATTCTTATGACAGACCTCACTTAGGTATGTCATTTAATAGATTGCTTCTTGATAGGTATTGGATTATACATTATAAAGCTATTTCGTATTTGCTTAATAATTTTTCATTGTAACAGGAAATCACATTGATTGAATTGTTTTGCACCCTGAACGTAAAGCGAAAAATACTCGCAAGTAATAAAAATATTTAAGTTAATTAGTTGTACTACTTTTTGTGAGAGTTTGTAAGTAAAGAATATAGGCGTGTCAAATATATGAGTATAAAAGCAATGGTAACAAAAACTACAGTGCGCTAAAAATAATAAGGGTCACTTGCGCACACTACTATTGTGCCTCAGAGCTTTAATCCTAACAATGAAAAACTATAATCGTTTTCATTCCCAGATTCTACGAATACCTCAGCCTCAACGACGTACACGAGTTGTTCAAAATCAATTTGAAAACCAAGGAATGCGTGAAGATGAGACCAAGGCACTGGCGTCCATTTGGAATTCCACCCAACTCCACTTTCGACAACGAGTTTGAAATTGGTGGGCCAGGCGAGGCTTTCACCGCCCAACAGTGGACTGATAGAATCCCTGGATTCAAAAGTTTGTGAAAATTTGCTTAATAATTGAAAATATTAAAAAAAATTCTGCTGCATATAGGTACATGTTCATACATTTGGTATACCCCTAAACTTAATATTTTCATAATCACCCCAGTTTTCAACCAGTAATGCCTTGTATGCTTTAACTTTAATCACTTCACAGTTTATTTACTTCGATAAATTATAATATAGAAGTAAAATGATGTATGATTGGTGAATGGAAAAAGGCGACTTTGCCCTAAAACAAATCTTTTTTCTTATTCAAGTAATAAAGAGCATTAGCTTTATATCATAAAATCGTCCTCTTCACCTTTATTGGTGATTGTTTCTCTGTATTTCAGCTGCGGAATGGATTGGAGTTTACAGCCTGAAATACTGCTATCCAGTTCACGAGACCTTCTTCAATCGCCTTAACATATCCGAATCCAACACAGTCAACTTCTACGACATCGTCGCTGGAATCCCCGACCCAGACATGTTCATACCTCCTCCGGAGTGCAAAACCGCCAAATGGGTCGATGAAACCGATGATCTGCCCGCCTACGTCTAAGAAACTTTTCATCTTCAAACATTTTGATAAATAATAAGAAATCAAGGAATCCAGTGAAATCAAACTAAAACTTTCATGCCATAGACGCTTTCCTGTTCTACGAGGCACTACTGCGCTTTGTTTCAAAAGAATATTATAAACTGTTTCTTTTATATACAGACCATTGTCTTTTATGGGAACTAAAGCACCTATTGTCAAAGATATGTTTATGTTCCTTCTCAATAAAGTGTTTTGTTTAAGATAATATCAAAGTGGTTTTGTTCAACCCAACACATTAATTGACTCTAGAGAAAATCTCAACTGTCGCATAAAAAGCATCAAAATATCAATAACATAAAGCAGAGTACTTTTGGCATACGTAGATAAAGTAAACTTAATGCATACTTAAATAAAACGTTACGGTATAGGGGTTTTGGTTCAACTTCAGTCAAGCCGTTTTCATGCATAACGTTCCAGACATCAAATACGGCGACATTTTCACGTACTTAAGTAAATGGCGTTCTGAGGGTTTGATACAGTGCTCTTCTTCTCCATTACACATGCCCAAAATGTAGTCATGCTTTTCTTCAGTATGCAATTCTAAGTATATGTATAATTCTAAGTGCGCATTTCTGTTCCTAAAAATTCCAGCTAATAGCGAAGCTCAGCCCCATATAACTGGTACGAACATGCTTGTTTCCTTGCTGAAAACTAACTTTTAAATTCCAAAAATAGATATCAGAAAGAAGCGTTTTTGCTTCAAGAACAATTTTATAAAATATAATGCATTAAACTGAATTAAAGAAGGAAAAATATGATAATACATGTTTGGTTAATCTAGATTTTAGCCGTTCAGAACTATTAACATTATGACTACGCAATAACCTCGCTACAACGCATTTCTTCGCTACATGTTGCTGCAGCTTTCTGTGACAAATGATATAATGTTAAAATTTCGGGATTTAATTTTACAAGTTTTTTGAACAGAATTATGTTGTAACTCCCGAATATGCATAACTAAGTTTTTGCTGTTCGGTTTGTCGACGCTTAGCATTATGCCAATACAACAGAAATTGTAGTCCTAGAGTATACAGATATTATGTCCGATGGTCTTCCATGCTGTTGAAGTTTGGCATGCGTGTGTTTGCAAATTTTGTAACACCCACAGTCACACGTTCGCCTACGCTCGACCTCGACTGACACTGAATGATACATATATAAATACAGTTACAATGATACGATATCGAAGGGGAGGCACGAGGCCCAGGTACAGAACTCTTATCTTCAATGACGTGACTACTCCCGAATATTTATTACAACAAGTTAATATTTCACGGCACATCATAGCACAGCTTGTAATGAAGCCATTAGTACTTGCTCTCGTTTTGTTGGTGGGAATTGCACATTCCCAGATCCCTAAACCTTGTTTTACACCGGCACGATGGGAGGTAAGTTTTTTTAAAGGTTACAGAAAGAAAACAATGGCAGGTAAACGATCACAACTTAAGTTAATATAATGCGTTTCCATTAAACATCTAAAAACACTTCCACGGGCTGAGAAAATCTTTTCCGTATTGCCCAAGGTATATAATACATGCATATAAAAGTGCATTTTTGAACGTGAAAAGCACTTGAATAAGGTTTGTTTGATTATTGTTATATTTCACACATGTGATTTTATAATAAAATGAGTCATATTGATTCATCCAAGACAAGCAAATTGCCTTTGATAATTAATGAAAACATAAGTTAGAAATTGGCTATAAAAGAAAGAGTTATACGCAATTGCAACAGTATTGTTTTAACTATTAAAACATTTTAAAGTTCTTTAAATTGTTTTATTTTTTCTATTTTGTTAATCTTTTTTGATCAATCGTTCTCTCACAATATTTAATACCAGGCTAAAGCATCTCGTTTCGACCATAACCATGGGAAAATGGAACATTATAGATTTGTCTATGATGCCGTAATGCAGCGTAAAGTGATCTTCGACAACATTCTTTTACACCCAGGGAGGAAGTACGTTCAACCACCACCATCTAAAAGGATGAATTACATTTTTCTTTTTTACATTAGTTCTATTTTCTTTTTACAACAATTATTATTATTATCATTATTATTATTTTCAAGCTGAACAATAATTCCTTTTGTTTGAAATTTTTATTAATGGAATTTAGATTGATATACGTGTATATATAAAATATATGATAGATATTAAATTACAAGACAACGGTCTGACGCTTAACTGGATATTCGGATAACTTGTCAATTATTTCAGACGCTACGAATACCTCATACTCAATGATGTTAATGTTATGTACCGGATCGACCGTCAGAGCAAGAAGTGTGAGAAAATGTTTCCAGGGCCATGGCGACCCTACGGCATTCCACCAATGGCCACTTTTAAAACGGAGTATGAAATCGGTTATCCCGGCGAGGATTTCACTGCACAAGAATGGATATTCAAGGAAAAAGATAGTGATGGTAAGTGGTGTATCAATTGCACCGTCGCAGTCAATAAAGCATTCATGTGATAATTGTAGAGTGAGGGAGGACTGGTGGCATCTTGAAAAACCACCAGCGCCCAATTTTACAATGTGACTTTTCTTAATTTAACAATAAGTCTTTGCTTATTGGACATAATCTTACATGCATTATTCGTAGAAGGTGTATTGAACTGTAACATGAAATTAACGTAGAAAGAAATAGTAATGATGACCAATTTGCATTACTTTAACCATGCGTAATACATTTACCTTTTCTTTTGTTTATGATTGGTTTCTTTTTAATTTTTACTTGGTTTCTTTTATTAATCCAGCTGTATTATGGAGGGGAGTTTATGGCCTGAAATATTGCTTCCCAGTCGTGGAAACATTTTTCAATCCCAACAACAGATCCGAATCCAACACAATTAACTTCTACGATATAGCTTCAGGCATTCCAGACCCTACTGTGTTTCTACCGCCCAGTGAGTGTAGAGATGCCGTGTTGGTGCACGAAAAACCACCTGCTTATTTCTAGAGAAAATTTATAAGAAGCTGAAGATAAATCATTTTGTTTTTTGCATTAGTGTCAACACAGAAGCTAGAAAAGGTCGTTTACTGTTACTGTCAATGAGGATATATAAAAAAGCATTGCTGAAACAGAGAATGTAATGTCCACATGTTGCAAACTTTTTGGAGGATTTCCGTTATTATTGGATAAGTCTTGACTTGCTTATATGTTTTGTCGAGTATCACATTGTATTATATTATCTCTGCTTCTTATTTTCAATATTTTCAATAATTATGTTAATAATAAATATGAATAAACACTATAAACAATCACTTCTAAATTTACTCTATGTATAAGCGTTCAAACTTTTTTCTTTACGAAACAAAAGAAACCATTATCTCTACAAGAACAGTCTTGTACTCCATCGTGTTCTAGGAATGAATTCGCATATGACACAATTTCTACACCATCGGCTTAAAACTCATATGGTGCAATGAAGTTGCAATGCAGTTATCGTTACGACCTGAATTTGCGCGATTTTCATTATTTTAGATTACTTTGCTATTTTGTTGGTGGTAACAGCAAAATCTCTTTCTAAAAATTATTTATACTCTTTAAAGCATTTTAAAATTTCTCTACGTTATCGAATAAAATCTATTTCGAGCTATTTTATTTCGTCATCTCTACGCTTGATCTGCTGAAAGGGGCCGAACCAAGATCATTATCTGCCATGTCCCGTCACGCATTCGGTGTTGTCTTCGTACTGCATTAAAGATAAATTTGGGCCATCTAACCGAGTCTGTATTAAAAAAAAAACAATTAAAATAACGTACGCTTTGGATATTTATGCTGTATCTCATGCTGCCAAGTAAGTCATCTCTAACCGTTTTGTTGACAGTCTGCTGCAGATGCACCTAGGATGGCCTGTACTATCTTAGCTTGGACAGATATAAGATATTTTTCACTGATTTTAGTCTAAAATGAACATACACCAGCCCTCTAAGTGATAGATCTGAGTATCAAGGACTTCCATAGGACTGGTAGTAATAAACCCTCTGAACATTGTGGTGATCACTAAGGATAGATAACACATGCCCGTACTTTCCGTCTCTTTCAGTTTTCATCTATTCAACCTTTACAATGTCTTTAACTTCCTGTAAGTGTGTACACCCAAATATCGGTAAAATCGGCATTCTTTTAATGGCATGTTATGCCATGTCATTTCCTTATTTTAAAGTAAAATTAGCAAAATTAACAAAGACCATGCCAGTTTCAAAAGAAAAATGACCTTTAATTTCGATTATTTTCCGATATCTGAATAACGCTATATTTGCTTCCATGAGCATTCCTAAATTTCGTTCACTTTTGCATGCTGAATATATATATTACAAACAAGGTTTGACAGAAATGATAGTCCTAGGAATGGTAGTCCGGGGTCCCACATGATTTGTAAAGGTTAGGGTAAGTCGAAGTATTGGGGTTAGCATATAGGACGAAAAACACTGAACAAAGTAATGGGGAGTGAACTACATGTGCGGTTCCTTGAGGACTACCTTTGTTATACCGTTCTTTACTGAATATTGAATATTAGTTGCAAGCTCCCTAGTCTAATGTATTCATACCCCTAACGCAGTGTAAAATGATGCCTCCATGAATGTTAAATCATAATATACTTTTGTCAAGGAATAAAAAAACTGATACTCTTATTTCAGTCATCCATGAAACAGTTTTTAGAAATGCAGAGAAGCTTTTGTGAGTTTGCTTCGGAATCTGTAAGACTTGTTTGCTTGTGTATCTTTTAAAAACAATTCTTAAAGAATCAAAAATATATTCTCTTGTAATGCAGTCTTAACATAAAGTTAGACAAGACTCATTTCGGCAAAGAAAGTGAAATAATAATCGTTTCTAATTGCGGAGTAGTCTAGGTTCTAGACTTATATCATTCTTGCTTATTTTCAACCAATAGTTCTAGGTCTGATCCATTAACAATTATTTGCAATTCCAAGTAAAATGTTACAGATACACATTTTTGATTAGCGTATCAATCGTAATAAGAGAAATAACAAAATAACAACTGTGATCTATACTTCCCTACCAAAAAGGTACGTGTCACACATACCGCATTTATGCAAATTGCTAGCAAGATACCCATAGATTTTATTTTACTATTGCGTAGTAACTAGACAGCTGATCATTGTGTAATTTGACAATGTGAGCATTATTAGCGTACCAAGCTTGACCATTGAAATAATCAACACCGATTATATTATACCGGACAAAATACTAAAACGAGGCTTTCACTTTTTATACTTTGGTTCGAGTATTCATTGGTTGTACAATCAGCAAAAGTTCGTGAAAAAAAAAAAAAAAAAAAAAAAAAAAAACAGTCGGGAAGTTGAATGGAAACATTAGTTTGTGGCTTGATTTTCTGTATCATTTTACATGTTGAATTAGGGGTGACACTTTTTTGGCAGGGGAGTAGAAATACTTTCCTTAGAAGGAGCTAACAGATCAAATCAAACAACAACCAAGACTTACGCATTAAACTCTTCCATGAATACCCGTAATTTCTTATTCAACCTTCGGTGCATTAAGAATTGTTAAAGAGCTGTGGTTACGGAGTATTTCACCCTAAATTATTCATTGAATTTGGGTAGAGTCTCGAATTGTCTTTATACATCGTCCACATAAATAACAATAATTGTCGTGTACTCTGAATAATTGCCTTTGAAGGAGTTAAAAACACCTAAACCTTTCTTGCGATTACCTTTGCAATACTCTTTCGATTTTGCAATTTTACATCATATTCTTGTGGAAGGGACATCTGGCGATTCCCTCATTTGTTCCTTTGTTCAGCTTCTGTAAGGTGGCCAGAATAGTGTTGGGATCGAAGTAGACTTTCAACTCTTCAATCTGCGGTTTTTCGTTCACAGTAGCGATGGCGCAGCCTTTCATTTCAACCCTCTCGCCAGAGGGCGACACCCCCTTGTAAGGTCCGGTCCACTCGGCCCAGTGCCGCCAAGTAAACGTTACCACAGGCGGACCTAAAAATATTCAACCTTTTGCAAATGTTGTATGGTGTGTCGTGGACACAGAAGGAATCTTTACGGATAAAAAAGGATTTTTTATTCCTGCGTCTGGCAAAAATGCTGACGTGCATGTATATGCGAACATTTCCATTTAAATATCCGTGCAAATTGTTATCAAAACTACAAATGCCACTTTCTAAAACTCTGTTCAACGTATAATTTTTGTCAGCTTAATCTCAATTCTAAAACTTAACACAAAGTCTCCAAAACGTAAATTGTGCAAACTATTTAACAGTCCCAACAAAAAATTAAATTTCCCATTCCAACTTTATAACAAAATCATTTAAAAGAAGAGGTGAAGTAGTTGCACAACCCGTAGCATTTTTTTCTGTAAATTGTGATTACCAACTATTATACAAAATATTAGTTTTTGTTCACAATCCATGTTTTTGATAAACTTACAGATATTTCAAGAATTTGTATACTTCGAATATTTCTACTGTATTTGCAACTGAGCTAATGCATCTGTTCTTGTTTTAATTTTTCTTTGTCATTCTTTGTGCAAATGTTTTTAATAAACTTGTCTGTTAAAAATTCTGTTGTTTATAAATGAAAATAATGAAAATTGTAGGTTAACTTTACTTGCACATACAAACGTTAATATAGCATGGTGGTACAGTGCAAACTACTTTAAACGCTGATTCAGCATTCTATACTGGTGCCAGGAACGACAAACAACGGCTGATCAACGTATAATTTTAGACAACGTCTGACCTGTTTCACTGTCTATCGTTGTCTGATTTGTTGTGTTTTCTAACTTGTTTCGATGTCTGACTTGTTTTGTTGTGTGACTTGTTTCGCCGTCTCACTTCACGCGGGTGCACAGTTATTTTACATAATTTTGCTTGAACATTGCTAACAACCCAACGATGTTTCTGAAACTTCAAAAGCTGGTTATGCATTCCATACTAGATTGGAGAGACGAACAGTGACTAACTCTATCGTTGTCTGACTTGTTTCGTTGTCTGACTTGTTTTGCTGTCCGACTTACTTCGTCCTACTTCAAGCCGGTGCACTGTCATTTTACATAGTTTGCTTAAACATTGCTGATTACTCAACGCTGTTTCTTAATCTTTAAAACCTGGTTCTGCATTCCATACCAATATTTAGAAAGACAAACAATATCTGACCTGTTTCGTTTTCTGACCTGTTTGTGTTGTCTTGGCCTATTGATGCGTGCGTTGGCATCCTTGGGGGATATGAGAAGAAAAAAGTGTGTATTTTTGTCGATTCAGGACCTAAACCCAATTTGCCAAATTATACTATGATAATAATGATAAATGAGCTGGTTCTGTATTCCATACTGGTATTTGGAAAGTAAAATAATGGCTGACTCAACTGTTGTCTGATCTGTTTCAATGTTTAAACTTTTTCGCTGTCAGACTTGCTGTTGCTGTCTGACTTGTTTTCGTTGTCCCACTTCACGCAGGTGCCCTGTAATTTTACATAATTTTGCTTGAACATAGCCAACAACCTAACCTTGTTCCCGAAACTTTAAAAGCTGGTTCTGCATTCTATACTGGTTTCAGGAAAGACAAACAATGAATGACTCGATCGTTGTCTGACATGTTCAGCAGAATGACTTGTTTCCGCTGTCTCACTTTACGAGGGTGCACTGTTATTTTACATTGTAAGCTTGTTCATTGCTATTTGTTGAAATACATATTTGTTCTAGTCTGACAGTGCTATGAGACAGAATAACAGAAATTGTCCAGGTCACTGTAGGCATGCGTTGGCATTTTTTATGATTCGGGACCCTAAGGATACCAAATGATAATATGGTGAAAATAATGATTAAAAAATCAATCAATATATCAAAGGTAAGACATAAAGACTGACATGCTGAAGTGAATAAAACAAAACTGTACCAACTACCACTTGTCCATACAACGGTAAATGAATGCAGACCCAGGGCATACAATCTTCCCACCCCATCTCTGGTCTCCCACTGGCAACACACTGGTATCTACCTGAGATGACATCCAGCACCTCCCAGGCAAATCCACCAGGAAAGGCTTCTTTATACTGCCCATGAAGGATCTCCTGCTTTTCGCCTGTTGCCTTGAACAGAGGTGCATCGGCCAAAAGCGCGTTGTAGCTACCGACGTCTGCAAGCTCGTCTGCGCTGAAGTATTTCCCACCATTTATCTGCATTTTAAAAACGTCGTATGCGATACTCTTCCATTCCTGTTGAAAGTAAAGCGGGTGTGATAATTAAATCAGAATAAATTCTACATTTACACACAGCTTAAAATATTTTAATATATATTATATCATCACATTTTTATTGTAACATGAATCAATAAAGCTTATACCAATATTTCCATCTTTTTATTCATTAACAATATTCTACGTCTTGAGTTCTTTATATTTATGTTTTATGACCCGACAAAAATTGAAAACTGAAATTTGAAAAAAAAAATCAAACTGGTCTAGTAAGGGCCACTGTTTATCCATTAATCTTTAATTTTGTTTCATTTTACTTTTTGACACATTATGTAAACATTCAGGACACATTTAAAACATTCAGAACACACACGGCGCACAGGAGACAAAAAATTCCCCTGAGGAAAAAAAACGAATGTCTGTCAGACTATGTCAATGTCAATATAATATAATGTCAATGTCAATATAGTTTACTAAGAATAGTTCAATAAGTAAAGGATTATGTAGTCTGCCATATTTCATTTCTTACTTTGGGAATCTTCTTATTTGTTAACTCCATCTCGAAGGTCTTCACTAAATTCTCAATTGTCTTCTCCACAGAGTTAGGTTTGTGGGTCTTTGATCTTTCCTTCAGATAAAGTTCATTGACAACGTCATAATTAGGTTTGTTACATCTCCACCTAATAAGGTCGTCGTCCATGTGAGACCTGCGAAAAGATATTCGAGTTAAAAAATAAATGGTTAAGGTAATTTGATTTAATTACTTAAGTTACTAAAAAGTGGACTGAGTAAAAAGCTTAAAGAATTAGACCCTGGGTGTTAATGACTTAAATATAATCTTATTTCTATTTGTTAATTTTTTTACTGTCATATTTTAAGTCTAATAAGTGTGCAATCAGACCATAAATGGTCAGTATTTAATCACATTGTGAATCTATTTTTTTCTTCATACCAAATTACTATAAACATTCACACCTTATTTGCACCGAGTTAGCAAACAACAAGGTACTTTTGTTCGAGTTATGGGCAATAAAGTCCGCTTTTTAAGGAATAATCCCATTAATGAAGTACCTTATAATTGCCAAGTGATGATAACCGTGGTTAAATTGTAACATTGATATTAGATAATTAGCTAAACAAATTTTAATTCAAAATTTTACTCTGTAATAAGTTAGCTCAAAATTTCAATACTCGTAGACAGTACTGAAGCTACACCGGTATTATGGAGTAACATTTTCAATTGCAATACGCTGTGGTCAATCAAAAAAAAGTAACCCTACTGAATAGTCAAACTATGAAATTAAAACGACAGATTACTTCTACTTCAAATTGATGGCACAGGCACAAAAGGANACATAAAGACTGACATGCTGAAGTGAATAAAACAAAACTGTACCAACTACCACTTGTCCATACAACGGTAAATGAATGCAGACCCAGGGCATACAATCTTCCCACCCCATCTCTGGTCTCCCACTGGCAACACACTGGTATCTACCTGAGATGACATCCAGCACCTCCCAGGCAAATCCACCAGGAAAGGCTTCTTTATACTGCCCATGAAGGATCTCCTGCTTTTCGCCTGTTGCCTTGAACAGAGGTGCATCGGCCAAAAGCGCGTTGTAGCTACCGACGTCTGCAAGCTCGTCTGCGCTGAAGTATTTCCCACCATTTATCTGCATTTTAAAAACGTCGTATGCGATACTCTTCCATTCCTGTTGAAAGTAAAGCGGGTGTGATAATTAAATCAGAATAAATTCTACATTTACACACAGCTTAAAATATTTTAATATATATTATATCATCACATTTTTATTGTAACATGAATCAATAAAGCTTATACCAATATTTCCATCTTTTTATTCATTAACAATATTCTACGTCTTGAGTTCTTTATATTTATGTTTTATGACCCGACAAAAATTGAAAACTGAAATTTGAAAAAAAAAATCAAACTGGTCTAGTAAGGGCCACTGTTTATCCATTAATCTTTAATTTTGTTTCATTTTACTTTTTGACACATTATGTAAACATTCAGGACACATTTAAAACATTCAGAACACACACGGCGCACAGGAGACAAAAAATTCCCCTGAGGAAAAAAAACGAATGTCTGTCAGACTATGTCAATGTCAATATAATATAATGTCAATGTCAATATAGTTTACTAAGAATAGTTCAATAAGTAAAGGATTATGTAGTCTGCCATATTTCATTTCTTACTTTGGGAATCTTCTTATTTGTTAACTCCATCTCGAAGGTCTTCACTAAATTCTCAATTGTCTTCTCCACAGAGTTAGGTTTGTGGGTCTTTGATCTTTCCTTCAGATAAAGTTCATTGACAACGTCATAATTAGGTTTGTTACATCTCCACCTAATAAGGTCGTCGTCCATGTGAGACCTGCGAAAAGATATTCGAGTTAAAAAATAAATGGTTAAGGTAATTTGATTTAATTACTTAAGTTACTAAAAAGTGGACTGAGTAAAAAGCTTAAAGAATTAGACCCTGGGTGTTAATGACTTAAATATAATCTTATTTCTATTTGTTAATTTTTTTACTGTCATATTTTAAGTCTAATAAGTGTGCAATCAGACCATAAATGGTCAGTATTTAATCACATTGTGAATCTATTTTTTTCTTCATACCAAATTACTATAAACATTCACACCTTATTTGCACCGAGTTAGCAAACAACAAGGTACTTTTGTTCGAGTTATGGGCAATAAAGTCCGCTTTTTAAGGAATAATCCCATTAATGAAGTACCTTATAATTGCCAAGTGATGATAACCGTGGTTAAATTGTAACATTGATATTAGATAATTAGCTAAACAAATTTTAATTCAAAATTTTACTCTGTAATAAGTTAGCTCAAAATTTCAATACTCGTAGACAGTACTGAAGCTACACCGGTATTATGGAGTAACATTTTCAATTGCAATACGCTGTGGTCAATCAAAAAAAAGTAACCCTACTGAATAGTCAAACTATGAAATTAAAACGACAGATTACTTCTACTTCAAATTGATGGCACAGGCACAAAAGGAATAGTTAGAGCTACCGTTGCAGGGCACATCTTTACTGGCGCGTGCCTACATATACATATTTGATCTTTTTCGAGGCGTATGAATTATAGATATGTGAGTTATGTTCAGATTCAATCACTTGGTGTTTTTAAAATTAAAACAAAATTTCGATGTGTGTGAGACAATACACCGTTACCCGAGCGATATATGCCATAACATCAGCGAAAGGAATTCATGGCATATATCGCGAGAGGGGAAGAGTATTATTTGACATACATACCGAGGAAAAATACTGTCATTTCTTCCTAAAACACCCCTTAGACAACGGTGGAAGTGAAAAACAAAAGACCCAGACGTGGTGTAACTCACATAACCGCACGTCTCGCATGAATGCGTTATAACCCGCTAATGGACCCGTGGTCTAAATAAGATAGATCCCTCGTCAGCGAGGGTTATGTGACATCCACTCGTGCTACCACTCGTGTATGCCACATAACCCTCGCTGACTCGGGGTCTATCTATTACTAAAACCGAATAAGTGACCTTATATCACGTTCTAGCGATGTTATATGGAATAAACTCGTCCACGTGAGCTGGTCACCTCCCCCCAAATTCTTACCTAATGTCTGACCAATTTGGTCAATTTTAGCTAAATACTTGTTGTGGACGTTCAACACTGACCATGCACGTCTCAGCTGAGCCACACCCAGCTGGGACTGCAGCGGAACAATGGTCCCAAGGCAAAACCTCTACTTTTTAGTGACATATCTGATAAAAAAGGAGCGTCGGACCGGAATATAGTCAAATAAATTTCTCACAAGTACAAAGGAGCAATAATTAATTTTTTTTGTGTGATATTTCTGACAACGAGGCAGTTCCGGAGTATAGTCAAAGTCAGACGGATGTTTATTACAAGTCCAAAGGAGTAATAATTCTACGTTTTTGAGATGTTTTTGACTACGAGGCGGTTTCGGAATACGCTGTGCTTAATTTCAGAACATTCATGTGCTAATTACAAGTTCAAATGGGAATAGATTTGATTTTTACCGATATTTTTGATAAAGAGAAAGAATGGGCAGCTTAGAAACAAAAGGTAAATAACACAACCATCGTTAAAAAGTTATATATTTACAAATATTTTTTGTACTCACGTGTGGCTTACATGTAAAAAAATCCCGTTTTCAAAACCAATATGATATGACTTGGTGTAATAAAATGATAAAGAATAATTGTTAAACGTGAAAAATTTATTCAAAATTTTAAGAGTATGAAAGATTTAAAATTTGTCTACAAGGTATAATGCAAGCAAAGTCACTATTCTCTTCATGCCAAGAATGTAAAGCTCTGTCTCAGAGGTCTCGAGGTTTTAGAGGTCTCGACTGATTTAACCAAGATGTAGCCGTGAAATTCTAGACAACACCTTGGTTTAATCAGAGGATTTCCGAGAAACGCTGGGAGAAATGTCGAGTGAGTAGCGGCTCGAGGTTGCCCTCGATCTTCACTGAAACTTGGTAAAAGGACAGGTCAAATAACATCCCTAGGTATGAATGATGCAATATCAGCAGTTTGCACAGAACTGTTACCATCGTATTGCAACCTGCAAAAACACCTTTTCTGATCGCTCTGTACAAACAACTCGTTGGCCCTTCCATATTTTAATCAAATCATAATTGTATGCCGATGACCCATACGATGAGCAAATTTTAAGGAAAGTACTTTCAAATTTTATCATAATAAAATGAAGCCAAAATATTACCTACCGGGCGGGAGCGTCCTCAAAGCTGATGTTCATTTTTGCATACGTGTGGCACCGTTCTTTGCTTACAGGATGTGTGCCTATACGCCTTCTTCCTCGGGCTAAAAATCAATTTGATAAGTATCACGTGACGCTGTACGTATGCGCCGTGTCGAAAGTACATCATTGGCTGTCACTCAAGAATATGACGACTGCAACTCTTCTAGTAGGACACGAGCCGGATGTGGGTTGGACAGGATCTACCAAAGTATTGGCAGCGGAATGGGTGTTGAGTGAGCATTCCGTACTTCTTTCAAGGATCGTCTGTTTTGTGTAACACGCTGAAAGATTTAAACAATTTTAACAATTTCAACTGGCCCCCCTTTCACAAAAAAAAAAAATCGTCAAGTTCCCTGACTAAGAGCTTGGTTACCATCGAAATTAAGTCCCCACGTCACTAAGACCCCATTTCCATAGCTTTTAGATCTATCTATCCCTGTGGGGAGTCTCACTAGATTACTGTCAGCTTAGCCGGCTTAAGCGTCTGTCCCGCCTACTGAAAGCTGTAAGGGGGTAATCAACTATGGTGCGCGCTCGGCTGACTGCAATTTAGCGTGAACCCCCAGTGAGTTAGGTCGATCTAAATTTTAATCTCTGGATCGATCTAAATCTCTGGGAATACACCTTAAGTCCTGTTTCACAAAGAATCTTTTTCTTGGCTGTTAGTCGACGAAGCTTAGCCACCTCGGTGTCTTAAGTCGGCAAGCTCAACTAAAACTCGATAAATGAGAGCATTATTAGCACATTTTCGAAAGTACATACCTTCTTCAATATGTTGCGTTATAAAATCTTGGAATGTTACTGAAATTTATTGATTTTTTAAATAAAAAAAATAAATGTAACATCAACTAGTCGATTGCGGGTTTGTTTACACTTTTGACCGCTAGACGTCCGATGGCAGCGTTCCAGGATAAGCTAATGTTTTGCCGTTACCTGCCTTTTAATATATATTTTGTATGTTTTATCAAATTTATCAATAAAGTTAAAAAAACAATAGTTATAGTTGATAAAACCTCGTTCACGGCCGAAAGAGGCAGTGAAAGGTCATGTCTTGCGAGACTTTAGAGACTTTTACACCTTTTTTATTTCTTGGAGAATTTCTCGTGCGCGTCGACTACCGTAAGCAAACCAAGCTAGGACTTGAGAGTGTTTGTGAAACACTCCCAGACCCCATTCCTACAAATTTTAGATCGATCTATCCTTGTGGGGAGTCTCACTATATTACTGTCAGCTTAGCCGGCTTAAGCGTCTGTCCCGCCTACTAAAAGCTGTAAGGGAGTAATTTAACTGTCGTGCGCATTGGCTGACTGCAATTTAGCTTCAACTCCTGGGAGTTAGGTCGATCCGGATGGATCGATCTAAATCTCTGGAAATGCACTCCTAGTCGACTGCTGCGTTGTCGACCTAACAAGGTCACTCAGCTCGTGCTAGTCAATAAGGCCTACGGATTAAAGATTCTTTTTGAAATGGGGGCCTGAGCTTTCTGCATTCGGCGTTCGATTCAGTCATTGATTGAAGTATGTCTTACAGGTTCTCATTTCTTTCAGTCAGAAGAAGCTTGTCATTTGCAGAGAGGATTAAATTTTTTAAGCCCCCCTAGCCAAAAAAAAATGTTTTAAACGCCTTGTAGGGACGTTTTGTATCCTGAGTCAGCTAGGGTCTGGATTTTCTCTCCCTTGTCATTTCACCACTTGTCTCTGTTTGGAGGAGCTCCCTCTGCATGCGCAATTTGGCTTGAAAAAATTGGCTTTGTTCTGGAAGCAGTCAGGCGTGGCAAGACAAACTTTTAAACTTATTTTATGAGTTGAATTAATTCTTTGATGCTATCGTCGCAGTCATTAAAACAGTCTGCATTTTTACACTTAAGGTGACCAAGATGAACTTTGGCCTCGTTATATAGGCATTTTTTAAAAATATGCCATTTACTTTCTGTATTGTTGTCAGGTTGTTCTTTGCAGTTGGAAAGAGTTGGCATAGTTTGTGAATACTGATTCAGTGGCTACCTTTTTGATGGAAGGAATTGAAGACATTTGGTTTCTGAGTAGAGAGCTTTATTCGGCATCTAATCATACGATCGGGTGAGTAGCAGTTTGCTGCTGTCATAACTCGGTGTGGCAAACATCCTTTATTGCTTTTTGGCTAACCAAGATATAGTCCAATAGGTGCCAGCGCCCAGACCTAGGGTGTTTTCAAGAGTAGAAGTGTTCGTCAAAGAAAGTAGGCCTATTTGTGCTGCTCAGGTTAAATTCTTTAAAAAGTTATAGGAGCATTTCCCCATTAGAACCGAGGTTGCCGCGGCCATGTTGTGGGCTGCCAGCTAGGTTAACATAGTAAACCTTTTTACCTCGCATTTTCTTGATGTTCCCTAGGATTGAGGACCATGCATTTCCTATTGGCTTACCAACTCACCTCTTTGATAGGGAAAAAAGTTCCAGTCTAAGTGTTCAAACCATGGCTTAATGGCAAGGGTCATGACGTTAACGGAAGCAAAACTAATCACTTTAGGACGTTCGGGTTTATAACACTCCCAATATTTTACACTCGCAAAAATGGAGCAGCATGTTTGTTTATTTCTAAACGTATTTTCCGGTCAGACTAAATATGGACTAAAAAGATGAACAAAATCGTTACCTAAGCAGGTTTAAACTGAGGGTAAATCTATTCGATACAGTCACAGGCTTCCCGACCTATAGTATTCATACCGCTCACAGAGTGTAAAGATGCTATCTCGGTGAATGACAAATCACCTGGTTTTGTCAAGGGATATAAAATACATGTTTTAATTCAGTCATCCTTAAAACGGATTTTGAAAAATGTTAAGAAGCTTTCGTGCGTTTACTTCGGCAACATATACGTGCATGAATGCTGCGTATTTTAAAAGATCAATTCTTGACGCAGTAAAAACTTGCTATGCAGCCCTCCTATTAGCCAAGCAAAAGCAAGTAAAGCTAGTGAAAAAAAACACAATCATCAAGACCTCTATTTATTTTACTTGTGACGCAGCCTAGGCCCTAGATATATGTATTCTCTAACTTTTTAAAATCGAGTCCATTTCTTCTGGTTCTGAATCATAACTGATTGTTTATTCAAATTACTTTGGGTGCATTTAGAATTGTTTAAGATACACAGCTGAGGTAAGTATTATATTCTAAATATTCATAAGCTTTAACAGAGTTTTTGCTTTTCTGTATAAATGATGAAAATAACAGAATAAAATAAACCACACTCTGACTTATTGCCTTAGAAGGAGCTAACAACACCTACTTCACAATATTGTTTCAATTTAGAAACAATGAATAACATTTCGAACCAAACAGGAACGAAGACATAAGCATCAAAAGTTTACATCAATATTCAAACTTATCGTTCGGTCTCAACAGTGCTTTACTTTTATATGGATTAAGAGGGCAAGTTTATGCAGTCATATAGTCAAACAAAGCAAAATTCTTATCGCGTGATTCTTCCTGCTTCAAGTACACGTAGCACACTTTCACTTCATACTCTTGTGGAAGGGGCATCTGGTGGCTCCCTCATCTGTCCCTGTGTTCAGTTTCAGTAAAGTGGCCAGAATGGGGTTAGGATCGTAGTAGACTTTCAGCTCTTCAACCTGCAGGTTTTCATTCACAGTAGCGATGGCGCAGCCTTTCATTTCAACCCTCTCGCCAGAGGGCGACACCCCCTTGAAAGGTCCGGTCCATCTGGCCCAGTGCCGCCAAGTAAACGTTACCACAGGCGGACCTGAAACGGCAATATTTTTCTATAACAAACTTTGTAAGCTCTGTCTTTCACGCAAAAAAATTCTTTTAGAGTTAAATAACGTATTTTGGTCGTGTGACATTCCGAATAACAAAGCGTTAGAAGAGCTAGTTGCTCAACTTGGTAACTCCCAGTCCCTTTTTCTTTAAAAAAAACTTTTGTACATTTTGATTGCCTTTTACCAAGATAGTCAGTGAATTTTGCACAATCTAAGATTATAATAAACTTGCAAAATTGATAAAAAGCTCCGTTTACCGTTAGTTTGAATATTTCTATAAGTAACTGATCTAGTGCACATGTCCGTTTCGATTTTTATCTAGCTATTTTGCTAATATGTGCAAAACGCTGATAAGTAAAAATAAAAAATAAAGGCTCGCCTATTGTTAATCCATGGAACACATGATTCTATTATATCTATTTACCTAAAATAGTCGACCTTTTTCAAATGTTGTATGATGTATCGTGGACACAGAAGGAATATTTGGGAATAAAAAAAGAATTTTTTATTCCTGCGTCTGGCAAAAATGCTGACGTGCGTGTATGTGCGAACATTTGCCTATAAATATCCGTACAAATTGTTATCAAAACTACAAATGCCACTTTCTAAATCTCTGTTCAACGTATAATTTCTTGTCAGCAAAATCTTAATCCTAAAACTTGATACTAAGTCTCCAAAAAGCAACTTATACAAACTGTTCAACAGCATCATCAAAAATTTAGTTCCCGTTCCAACTTTATAACAAAATCATTTAAAAGAAGAGGTGAAGTAGTTGCACAACACGAAGAAATTTTTGTAAATTGTGATTACTATCTACAAAATTATTAGTGCACATTCCATAATCTGTGTTTATGATAAACATACAGATATGGCGAGAAGTTGTATTTTACCGTTATTTTGAATATTTCTACTGTATAAGCAACTGAACTAATGCATCTGTCTGTTCTGATTTTTATTTAGTCAGTCTTTGTGCAAATGATTCTAAAGAAAATTGTCTGTTAATTATTCTGTTGTTTAAAAATAAAAATAACGAAAATTTTACGTTTACCTTATGTCATATCATGTAAGGCATTATTGATTGTACTATTATGACCATTGTTCTTTGCACTGTCCTAACTTTTCAACCTTCAGTCACAGTTAGATCCACTTTAATTTGCATTTGAGTAATGCATTCGGTTGGTAAAATACTGCATGTATATTGTATTGTACAAAGCCATAATAATAATGTATGTACAACCAGAAGAAAAACTTTATACAGAATTAGATATTTTAACTCTCTTAAGCTATCATGTGAGGCTTGGGCATTTTCAAGGGTAAAAGAAATTTGAAATTACAGTATAAGATAGGGATAAAAAAGGACTGCTGGTAGGTGGAAAGACAGCAGTGGGAATACAAATGTTTCTGAAGTCTAAGATTCTTTATGTTTATTTGTACTTAATCGACGAAATGATTATTTACCTTCTCAGTTACAATTGCATCAAAAGAGGGGGCCACAGAGAGAGTAAGGGGTGTTTAGTTGAACAACCCCTCACCCGCACACACAAACGTTGATACATGTATATAGCATAGTGGTATAGCGCGAACAACTTCCTCTGAACTTTAAAAGCTGATTCTGCATTCTATACTGGTACTTGGAACGACAAACAATGGCTGAATCTTGTGTTACCTATTTCAATGTTTAACTTGTTTCGTTGTCTCATTTGTTGAGTTTACTAACTTGTTTCGATGTCTGACTTGTTTTGTTGTCCGACTTATTTCGCCGTCTGACTTCACGCTGGTGCATTGTCATTTTACATAAATTGTTAAACATTGCTAATTACTGTGTAATTACGCTGTTTCTAAATCTTTAAAAGTTGACTCTGCGCTCCATACCAATATTTAGAAATACAAACAAAATTACTGACTTGTATCGTTTTCTGGCCTGTTTGTGTTGTCTAGGTCAATTAATTGCGTGCGTTGGCATCCTTGGGAGATTTGAGGAGAAAAAAGTATGTATTTTTGTCGATTCAGGACCCCAAGGGCACCCAATTTGCTAAATTATACTATGATAATAATGATAAATAAGCTGGTTCTGCATTCCACACTGGTATTTGGAAAGTCATATAATGGCTGATCTGTTTCAATGTCTAACCTGTTTCGTTGTCTGACTTGTTTTCGTTGTCTCACTTCATTTTTCATTGTTATTTTACATAGTTGTGCTTGAACATTTCTACAAACCCACCGTTGTTCCTTATACTTTAAAAGCTGATACTGCATTCCATACTGAATTCATGAAAGACAAACTGTGAATGACTCGAGCGTTGTCTGACCTGTTTCGCAGAATGACTTTTTTCCGCTGTCTCACTTCACGCGGTTGCACTGTTATTTTACATAGCATGATCATTGCTATTTGCTGGAATACATATTTGTTCTAGTCTGACAGTGCTATGTAGGCATGCGTTGGCATTTTTTTATGATTCAGGACCCTAAGGGCACCCCATTTGCCAAAATGATAATATGGTGATTATAATGATAAATAAATCAATAATCAAGGTAACACATAAGGACCGACATGCAGAGTGTATAAAACAAAACTGTCTACGTGTACCAACTACCATTTGTCCATACAACGGTAAATGAATGCAGACCTAGGGCATACAATCTTCCCACCCCATCCCTGGATCTGGTACCGGCAACACACAAAACAATGTCCTACCTGAGATAACCTCTAGCACCTCCCAGGCAAAACCACCAGGAAAGGCTTCTTTATACTGCCCATGAAGGATCTCCTGCTTTTCATCTGTTGTTTTGTACAGCGGTGCATCGGCCAAAAGCACGTTGTAGCTACCGACGTCTGCAAGCTCGTCTGCGCTGAAGTATTTCCCACCATTTATCTGCATTTTAAAAACGTCGTATGCGACACTTTTCCATTCCTGTTGAAAGTAAACCGGGTGTGATAATTAAATCAGAATAAATTCTACCTTGACACACAGCTTAAAATATATAAATACATGTAAATATAAAATCATCAAATTTTAAGTGCAACATGAATCAATACCAAGCCTATACCAATATTTCCATCTTTATATTCATTAACAATATTCTACGCCTTTAGTTCTTCATATTTTTGTTTTATGATCCGACATAAAATCAAAACTTTAGTTGAAACAATAAAACCAAACTGGACTAATCTTTGATTTTGTTTGTTTTGCTTTTTAACTCATGATGTAAACATTCAGGATACTGACTGTAACATTCAGGGCTCTCACTGTAATGAACGACGTCACGGGAGACAAAAATGTTCCCCTAAGAAAAAAACTCAAATGTCTGTCTGACCATGTCAATGTCAATATATAAGTTTACTTAGAGCTGTTCAGTAAGTATAGGATTATTACATAGTCTGTCATATTTCATTCTTACTTTGGGATTCTTCTTATTTGTTAACTCCATCTCGAAGGTCTTCATTAAATTCTCAATTTTCTTCTCCACAGAGTTGGGTTTGTGGGTCTTTGATCTTTCCTTTAGGTAAAGCTTATTGACAACTTCATAATTAGGTTTGTTACATCTCCACTTAATAAGGTCGTCGTCCATGTGAGACCTCCGAAAAGATGTTCGAGTTAAAAAATTAATGGTTAAAGTAATTTGATTCAATTACTTAACTTACTAAAAAAAGTGAACCGAGTAAAAAGATTAAAGAATAAGACACTGGATATTAATGACTTTAATAAAATCTTATTGCCATTTGTTCCTTTTTACTGTCATAATTAAAATTTAATACGTGTGCAATAAGACAATTAATGGTCAGTATTTAATCACTTCGTAAAGTTATTATTTCATACCAAATAACTATACACATTCTCATCTCATCTACAACGAGTCAGCAAACAACATTTTATTTTTGTTTGAGATTTGGCCAATAAAGTCCGCTTTAAAGAAACAAACCCAATAATGAAGGACCTTTGGATGTGATGAAATATCAGCAGTTTGCACAGAACTGTAACTATCGTACTGCAACCTGCAATAGCACCTCTCCTGATCGCTCTGTCCGAACATCTCGTTGACCGTCCGTTTTTAAATAAAAATCATAATTGTATGTCGATGACTCAAACGATGAGCAAATTTTAATGAAAGTACTTTCAAATTTTATCATAATAAAATGAAGCCAAAATGTTTACCTACCGGGCGGGAGCGTCTTCAAAGCTGAGATTCATTTCTACGTGCTTGTGGCGGCGTTCTTTGCTTAGGGGATGTGTGCCTATACGTCTTCCTCTTCGTGTTTATAAATCAATTTGATATCACGTGACGCTGTATGCGTCATGCCACGAGTACATGATTGGCTGTCACTCAAGAGTATGACGACTGCGACTCCCCTCTTGCAGAACACGAGCCAAATGTGGGAAGGACAGAATCTACCACAGTATTGGTAGCGGAATGGGTGTTGAGTGGCACAGCCATTGTTGGAGGTAGAACAGTATGTTTGACGGTTACTGTGTTCAGTTGTTTCTCACTCCAAACGTTGTTCAGTAGCCCTGACAGCCCTGTTAATTCGACATTTTCAGATAAAACAATGCCTTCTTCCTTCCAAAAAAAAAAAAAATGTTGTAAGTTAACACAGTCTTAAAGCCGCAGTCGTAGCTCTCTCCAAACGTTGTTCTGTAGTCCTGCGAGGCCCTGGCAATACGGTATTGCCAGATAAAACGATTATGCCTTCTTCCACCCAGAAATTAAAAAGAGAAAATTGTAAGTTAACCTAGTCATACCACCGCAGCGTTGGCCCTTCCAACCTTTCTTTTTCCTTGTTGTAGTTTGTCGTAAAAGACGTATTCAAAGAGTCTGGAATCATCCATACGAATCAGGTGGCCATTCCAGCGGAGTTGCCGTGATAGACCTTACGTTTTCTTTGAAGGGGGATGCTTAGTCGTTTTCACACAGTGTCCCGGCTGTTGTTAACGTAGATGGTGATCCAATGTATGTCAAGCGTTTACTTCCTCGAGTGGTTGACCATTTAGGGTTTTATTGGGCTTTGGATACCACGATGATTACCACAATCCTGCTTATTTCCTCTTTTGCAAATAGGGATGTCACAAGCGTCTTTAAATCTTGCTTGCTTTACTACTAGATGGCTTGGGGCAAACTGTATAGTGGACTCAAGATATTGTTCACGTCTTTCTGAAAAAGAAATTGGCGGCAATACCATTAGACCCATGGGTTTGTTTCATCTTAGGATTATTACCCCATGTCGAACTTCTTTCAAAGATCGCCTAAGTTTTGTACATTCCATCGCTCCAGGACTTTTCCCACACTCAAAACAGAACGTCCTGTACAGAACAAAATCCAGTTGATGTCAATTCATCCATGAGGTTCCAGAACCTTCCACAAGGTCTCACGGTTGACAGTTGAATAACTATAATAGAGCTTCATGCATTACTCCACCATTTTCTGAAGGAATACCATCGAGTCCAGGTGCTTTACCACTTGTTAAGCACTTGAGAGCATTCTGCAGTTCCTCCATGCAGAATTCTCCACACACCTCATTCAATTTTGGTTTCTTCTTCAGCTGCTGACATGCATCTGCCTGTGCAGATCCCACTTGGTTAAATAAGTTACTGAAGTGCTCCTTCCATCTAGTCTTGATATCTTCAAGGTCCGTGAGTAGCCTCCCATCCACCGACTTCACTGTGGTGACAGCAACGTGCACATGGTCGTCGATATTCAACAGCTAGTTCAAGCAGTAGGCAATGCAACAGATGTCAGCTTTTCTGCAAATCCCAAGGTGGTCTCAAAGTCCACATGACAGCCTGTCTGCGAAAAGTCTGTAGCTCAATTCAGTCAGTCATCTTCGGTAATGAACAGCCTGATGATGATGATGATGATGAAGTTATGTAGAGTAACATGCTGAGGCAAGGGCTGAGCTGTCTACATTAGACGTTTGATTAAGTAATTGATTGAAGTATATCTTCCAGGATCTCATTTCTTTCGGTCAGAAGACTCCTGACATTAGCAGAGAGGATTGAATTTGTATACCCCCCCCCCCCCCCCAAGTCTCAATTACTGTTTTTAAAGCCTGGAAAGAGCGTTTTTGTCTCCTGGGTCATCGAGGGTCAGGGTTTTCTCTGCCTTATCATTCCACATCTTGTCTTATATTTGGCAGAGCTCCCTAGATGCTAGATGCGAGACAAAATATGTTTTTAAAACTGATTTTTTAGTTGAATTTACTCGGTGATGCTATCATAGGATTGAGGGCCATGCATTTTTATTGGTTGGCCAACTCAGCTCTTTGATAGGGATAAAAAGTTCAAAGTGTTCAAATCATGGCATAATGGCAAGTGATACATGTATGAGGTTAACGAACAGTTGAGTTTATAACACTCCCAATATTTTATTCGCAAAAATGGAACAGCATGTCTATTTCTAAACGTATTTTCCTGTCAGACCATATGGAATAAAAGAGTAGAACAAAATTTTTATCTAAGCAGGTTTTAAACTGAGGGTAGATCTATTCGATATATAGTCACAGGCTTCCCAGTTTATTGTATTCTATGCTATCTCGGTGAATGACAAATTACCTGCTTTTGTCAAGGGATATAAAATATGTTTTATTTCAGTCCATAAATCGGTTTTTGAAAAAATGTTAGGAAGCTTTTGTTCGTTCACTTCGGCAATCCGTGAAAGGCCTGCATGTATGTGCATGAATGCAGCGTATTTTAAAAGATCAACCCTTGACGCAGTAAAAACTTGCTATGAAGCTCTCCTATTCAGGCCTACCCAACTTCCAGACGCGGCACCTACGGATCCTGAATAAACCGGTATATCAGACCACACTACCCGTTTTCAAGGTGTGTGTCAGATCGCATTACGGAGTGTCAGCCACTTCACCCATTTTGCCTGGCGCGCGATGTGTTAGAGATGATCCTAAGCGGGGTTGGCAAGTAGTGCATCTCATCTAGATTCATGCGCTGCTGCAATTTTCCCTGTTTATGCTTAAAACCTGACAATACCGCAATTTTTTAACATAAAATTTAGGTTCGAACATAGCCAATGATGTTTTGTAAATAAGAACTTGCAAACTTATATATTAATTTAGAAAAGAAGACCTAATTTTGATAGCGGAAGCATATTCTGTCGGGGGTTAAATATAGTTTTCGACGTAACAATTAACAGATAATCATTCGCTTTACTGTTTACATAAAATGAAACAAACGTAACTTACTGAAATTATTCGATTTTTTCACCGACTACCGCCTGTCGCCATGTTGTTGTATTCATATGACTCCTACTTGACGAAAACGAGGCGCGATACCCGGATGACAGGAAGGCCTACAAAATTTGTGATGGGGTATGATACTCCGTAATGCGATCTGACACACACCTTGAAAACGGGTAGTGTGGTCTGATAAACCGGTCTATTCAGGATCCGTAGGTGCCGCGTCTGGTAGTTGGGTAGGCCTGCTATTAGCCAAGCAAAAGCAAAGAAAGCAAGTGGAAAAAACACAATCATCAAGACATCTACTTTATATTACTATATTACTTGTGGCGCAGCCTACATGTGGGTCCGAGATATACTGCATGTATTCTCTAACTTTTTCAAATCGAGGCCATTTCTTCTGGGTCTAAATCATAACTGATTGTTTATTCAAATTACTTTGGGTGCATTTAGAATTGTTTCAGATACACAGCTGAGGTTAGTATTATATTCCGAATATTCATAAGCTTTAAAAGAGTTTTTGCTTTTCTGTATAAATGATGAAAATAACAGAATAAAAAAAACCACACTCTGACTTATTGCCTTAGAAGGAGCCAACAACAACTACTTCACAATATTGTTTCAATTTAGAAACAATGAATAACATTTCGAACCAAACAGGAACGAAGACATAAGCATCAAAAGTTTACATCAATATTCACACTTATCGTTTGGTCTCAACAGTGCTTTACTTTTATATGGATTAAGAGGGCAGTAGAATAGTTATACAATGCCAAATTCTTATCGCGTGATACTTCCTGCTTCAAGTACACGTAGCACACTTTCACTTCATACTCTTGTGGAAGGGGCATCCGGTGGCTCCCTCATCTGTCCCTGTGTTCAGCTTCAGTAAGGTGGCCAGAATGGGGTTGGGATCGTAGTAGACTTTCAACTCTTCCATCTGCAGGTTTTCATTCACTGTGGCGATGGCACAGCCTATCATTTCAACCCTCTCGCCAGAGGGCGACACCCCCTTGTAAGGCCCGTTCCATTTGGCCCAGTGCCGCCAAGTAAACGTTACCACAGGCGGACCTGAAACGACAATTTTATTCTATAATAAACTTTGTATGCTGTGTTTTTCACTCAAAAAAAAAAGGATCTTATTTGGAGTTGAAAAACGTCTTTTGATCGTGTGACTTTTCGAATTTATAACAAAGCCGTTCATTAGAAGAGCTAGGTGAAGTAGTTGCTCAACTTGGTAATTCCCAGTCCTTTTTTTCTTTGAATAATTCTTTAAATTCTGATTACCCTTTACCAAGATTGTCGGTGCATGTTGCATAATCTAAGATTATGATAAACATGACAAGAAGCTCCAATTTACCGTTAGTTGCAATATCTTTAAAGTGATTGATCCAGTACACATGTTCATTTCGATTTTTTTCCTTGCTATTCTACTTGTATGTGCAAATTTCTAAATATTTTTCTGTCTTTTATAAGTAAAAATAAAAAAGGCTCGCCTAATGTTATACCATGGAACACATGATTCTATAATATCTATAATTATTCTTTGCCCTATTCTTTCTTGTCCGCCTTAACTTATACTGTAGAAAGATCTACTTTAATTTCCATCTTGGTTATGTGCCAATTATATTACATAATAATGTACATGAGCATAATAATAATGTTTACACCAGTTCAGAATTCAAAATTAGATGTTAACTCTTTCACCCTGTCATGTTATGCTAGCCCATACTTAGAGAGACATATATATGAGACGTTCTAGAATTAGAGTATACCGTACAAGTATAAAAGGGTTAAAGGGGCTGTTGGTGGGTTGAAATGACAATAGCCCCAGGAGTAGGAGTACAGCTGGTCTGAAATCCACGTGTCCTGTTGTTTATTCCTAGACTTGATCAGCAAACCGATCGATTATCTACCTTTACAGCTTATTTGAATTAAAAAGAGATTGGTTCAGAGGGTGCAGGAGATTTTGATTCAAAACCCTTACCTGACACGCACACACTGTTAGGTACCGTGTTACTCCATTAAATGAACTATTTTCCATTCGTGGTCCAAAAAATTTATCAGAAATGTCAAACTATTATGGAGTCACAATACAGTGTAAAACCAGTGTTTAGATCCTAAACATATTTCTAAGTGATGTTCTAAATGATTTGTCTCATTTTTTCAATAGCTGATAAACACGTTTAGCTTCTAGCATGTTACACACGTTAAACCTGAATATGTTTGGCAATATGACGCGTTTTCGGGGAGATATGAAATTTATTGAACCAGGCCAATACATATCATTAATACGATATAATAAATAAAAAGGGAGAGTTTATTTCTTTTATACCGCACTACTCAGCGCAGTTTACGGACGCCTGGTTATTTTTTGGCCCTGATACTGTATATCTGACGCTACTGCCTCCCTGTGGAGGTTATAGTCCAGCATGCCGTATGAAGCGCTGAAAGTAAGCAAACGAAAATATCTTTCTCTGCCAGACCAAGAACTTTATCCCTGTTTCAACTCCTAAGTGCTGGGTACCAAGCACAGAAGGTATATTTTATGATAATAAAGATGGTAATCATTATAAGCTCTAGCACATTTTTACAAATGTTTGTGACCTAACAAATACATAAGTAGCGTAATGAAATATGTAAAAATTTAGTGTATATACTTAAATATAAATTATAATATACAGGCAGTGAAACATATGATGACTTAACACAGATGAAAGCTGAGTTACATGACCATTAATATTGATACCTGAATTATTGCACACTTCTGTCATTTAAAGGAAATTATATTATTATTTTTTTGGCCAACTCGCTCCATGTTATATTGTATCATTGTGTCATACTGTGTTATTTAGTTGTGCCTTGAAAAACTAGTATATTCCTCAGATGGAATCAAACCCATGTTCTCCAGCTTCGTAGGCGGGCACTCTAACCACTAGGCCATCCGATACAGGTGGATGCTGACGATCACATCTTCTAAAAACGAAATGGCTTCTCGAGTTTATCTTATCTTTTAAATTTTGCAGGTGAGACCTCATTTAGGTTGTTGTTCTAATTCCTGAAGGTTGGACCCCACCCTTTCCAAAATCCTATATCCGCCCATGAATATAATGCTTTCTACTTACCTTTTTTATCATTTAGGTCTAAAGTAAAAACATAGTTTTTTAATCAGGAATCAGAATAAAATGCACCATGGTAGACTGAAAACATGGCCTAGGCCTTTAGGCTTGTAGGGAGATTTTAGCCATTGCTTCCCTTAATTACAGGATTTTGGCAAAAGTCACTTAGTACTTATAAGACATATTTAAAATAGTGCAAGGAAGTCCACTAAGTATCCGAGCAGGCTGCTCCACGCGTTTAGCAGCTCCACGCGTTTAGCAGTTAAACACGTTTAGCAGCTCCACGCGCTGAGCAGGGGGTGAGTGCTTAACCAATGTGTTTAGCCTTGCGATAAACTTATTACATAATCATAAACCGGTGAAGCAGCTAAACACATAGCTAAACGTGTAGCATTGCTAAGCATGTCTAGCATTTTCTTCTGTGAGAAGCTTGAAAAGCCATATGTGTATAGCTTCTACACATTTCTAAACGCGTTCAGGTGCTAAACGTGTGTTTTATGTGTTTAAAAGGTTTACAGTGTATAAATTTTCAGTCAGCAACAGAAAGTCCTGTGTCCTTTTGCACCACGTACTTGGGTAAGATGAAACTTTCTGACAATTTTATGGGGAACATACGTTACACAGTATTAGCCATGACACAAAGCCCCTTGAGTTACAGTTTAAATATTTATAAAAAACGTCCTTACGTCATGTATAATTTACCATGACTGAATCACTACAAAATATATCGGAACGCAATGTAAAATTTAAAATTAAATGACCCGGAATATATGTTACCATCTAGGGCTCCTTACACAATGTAAAGGCATGGTAAAAATTAAAAAAAATTCAATTAAAATTGAGACAGTCTTGGATTTTTGTTCTATACACATATATGTTTTAAAAATTGCATACAAATTTGAATTCGTTCAGTTTTATTCTTTGGACTCTATATTGAGTTTCGGTGTTTAATCCAATCATAATACTTATGATGCAGAAGACTTACATACCAAATAACTTCTACATACACTATATTATGATGATAGCTTTACTGAGTAAACCAAGTGAATCATAGTGTCAATGCAGAGGACCATTTCCAAACCCACGTGATGTGGCTGTACTCCATAATGAATGTAATGTACTCCATAATGAATGTTGTTTGATTCGATGCGAACTACCTACCTACTTCCTGATAATACGTATTTTTCAAATTCTATTACACATAGTGGTACAATACGTGCCATTTTCAAAGCTATAAAAGCTTTTTTTTTTTGCATTCATCCTGTTATTTGGAAAGGCAAACAATGACTGACTAGTTTGTTGTCTGACCTGTTGGCCGTCTGAACTTTTTGCAACCTACGCAGGTGCATTGTTATTATGCACATAGTTTGGTTGCACAATGCTATCAACTCAACGTTGTTGGAATACAAATATTTTTTGTAACCCCTGGATAGAACACTGAAACCGCGTGGCATTCTTTATTGCGTTCAGATTTCGCGTATCGTTCAACTAGTCAAAATAGAGTTTACAAACATCCTTTAGAGCCCCCTGGATCTGCCACTGCCAAATGCCGAACAATGCCCTACCTGAGATGACCTCCAGCACCTCCCAGGCAAAACCACCGGAAAAAGCGCCTCGAAAATCATTGTGAGAGGACTCAAACGTTTCTTCTGATGCCTTGTACAGGGGTGCATCGGCCAAAAGCGCGTTGTAGCTACCGATGTCTGCAAGCTCGTCTGCGCTGAAGCATTTCCCACCATTTATCTGCATTTTAAAAACGTCGTATGCGACACTTTTCCATTCCTGTGGAAAACAAAGTTGATGTGACATTTTAAATCGGACATGAGGCTACATTTAAACACAGATTAGAAATAACAGATACACGTATTCAATCAACACAGTTATTTGGGAGATGGACACATAGAGCCAATAACAGTTGATTCCTTATTTGCATTAATTAATAACATGCAACGTCTTAATTTTTACATATTTTTTGCTCTGTCAACTTCAAAAACGCAGCTGTTACGACATCAACTCAAATAAGCAAATTTACGCTAATGTTTTTTTTTACTGTGACAGAGAACATGACAATGTTTATCCTCATAATGCATGCATATAAGGAAAGACTATGAAGTACTCAACCCCTTTGGGTACTAACAGGATTTATTATCATCAAAATGCATATATGATGATTGAAAAAAATTCCCTCGAGAATATAAGATTTTGGCGTTTATATTTCCCGTTGCTAAGCGCAATAAATACTGCCAATTGACTCCGCCTTAGTACTGTGGTGTCACATGAACGATACAGTCACAACAAAAGAGGCCTGTTATAAGACTGACGGAGTGTAAGCAGTAAACATGTAAAAGCAATAGAGTAAATATAACTACTGTGATTTTATATTTTTTCTAATTGTTCATGATATTTGTGCCATTACCATATCATGCATATCGTTTGTAGTGCTCTTGTTTTGTAAAGAATGGGTTTTCACAATCAGATACATGAAATTGGCACTTAAGGTAATAACGCATACGTCACACGAGACTAGAAAAGTGCGAGTATATGCGAGAAGCGGATCAACTTTTGAATTAAAATGGTGAAAGGGTTAATGCGCCTTGAATTTCGTCTATGCAGGTAAAATTAAAATGAAACGCAAAATATGATGAACAGACACTGCAGTAAACTGTGCTGGTACAACGGTGGAGGATAAGAGAGAAAAATACAGAAAAAATATTCTGACTGATCTCTTACAGCTCTCGTTCGTTGCCGCATCACACTTGCAAAACCCTTCAAGGAAAGTTCATTGCCTGCTGGCTAAGCAGGTTTACTTTCCCAGATATGCAACGGGACCACTGTGACGCGATGTCTGTCTTAAGAACTACGAGGCCTGCGCTCAAAGCACAATGTACCGACCATGTATCCCTACCGGGGCTGTAGCAATAGTCCGAAGGTTCATTGATCCGAAAGTTCACTATAGAACCTTCGGACCAATGAACCCTTGATTAAAAAAACCGATGAAAATGTTATTTTTCGGACCAATGAACCTTCGGACTATCGAGACGCCCCCATCCCGACCACCACACGGACTTTTGGCACATATAGGTCATACAGCGCTTTCGGCAAACAGCCCCCTCTCCTATCAAAATGCTGGTTATTTCGGTAACGACAGTTCGAATATTTTACAAGGCGCACCGGTCTAATAGCCGACTAACCCCAAGCCCAATTTGGAATTAACCGCTAAATGTAGTTCAAACAGCGTAAGAAGTGTTTTGGTTATTTATAAAAAAGGTTTTCAAAACATTATATTTTTCCAGAATGTTATAAAAACGCTGATAAAACTCCACAAAATAACGTTACCATAAAGTTTTGTAGAAACGGTCGTCGAATCTTTCTACAAATTATAACGTTACTATAATGTGTTTTGTTAGCTGGGGCATAATTTTGCATGGAGTAAAAAAAAACCCATAACGTTACCATAATGTTCTTCTATACCATTACCAGCATGAAACCATCTGCTAACTTCGTGAAAACGTTATTTGTTATTTGGATTATTACTTAAAGGTACATACGAACCAAGCATCGGTGGAGCGTGGATTCCCAGTAACACATAAAAACCACTTCTACTAGATTCTTATACGACTCAAATAAAGTCGACATGACAAAATATAAACTGAATAAATCACTCGATGAGCCATAAAAGAGCTTTAGACTGCTCCTTTCTTTAAACTTTTGGTCAGAAATTTAACCTACTTATGTGACCTACTTTTCTGCCCCATGTATATACAGCATAGTAAGCTAGCAGAAAAATCCATTCAAATATCAATTTTCGGGTAATATTAAACAATGTATTTTGGTAATTCTCTTAGTTATACTGTTTGAAACTATATGCTGGCATTTGGTTGGTTTTTGTATGCATCTTTAATAGGCCCATTTTAAATAAGCACACGTTACTGCAAGGAGGGACACAAAGCGATCGAGCAGGCAGCTCCACGCCTTCAACAGCTCCCCACGTTTACAAGGGGAAGTGTTAAGCCAAATTATTGAGCCTTGTAATAAACTTGTTATGGGATCATAAACCGGTGAAACTAATCACATAGCTAAAACTGTGACACTTCTAAGTATGTTAAGCATTTTCTTCTGTGAGAAGCTTGAAAAGCTAAACGTGTTGTTCAGCAGCTCCACGCCTTTAGGAGTTCCACACTTATAGCAGCTCCATATGTTCAGCAGCCCCACGCGTTTAGTAGCAGGGGAAGTGCTTAGCCAGTGTGCTTAGCCTTGTGATAATCTATTATAGATTCATTTACCGGCGAAGCTACACAAATAGCTAAACATGTAACACTGCCAAACGTGTCTAGCATTTTCTGGAAAGCTATAAGTGTTTAGCTTTTACACATATTTCTAAATGCGTTTACGTGCTAAAAGTGTGTTGTAATGCTAAACACTGTTTTTACAGTGTAGGATGAAATATTTCATTTCTTACTTGGGGATTCATTTTATGCGAAATCTCCATTTCAAAGGTCTTCACCAAATTTTCCACTGTCTTCTCCAGGGAGTCGGGCTTGTGGGTTTTTGATCGCTCCCTCTGATAAAGTTCATTGATGACGTGATAATCAGGTTTACCATGTCTCCATTCAATATGGGCGTCGTCCATGTGAGACCTGAGAGAATGCGCAGGCTTAACATTTGCATACGAGACTAACAGGAAAATAATCTTTGAATAGGCTTGAACATGTTGGCTAGGGCCATTTCAATCACTATTAATCTTAAAGATGCGTTTGCTGACCACTAGAAAATTAGAGAGAATTAGACGCGCTTATAGGCTACTGTGTACTTGAGATGAGAAGGTTATATATTAAGTCAGTGCATGACCACACTTCATGAGAATAGACTTAATTTCGATTTGAATATCATAAGTTTGTACACAGCTGTTAGTACTACTGCATTGCATTCTGAAATACAGGTAGCATCTCTCCTAATCGCTATATACGTCCAAACATTTCATTGCCTCTTCCAGTTTTTTAGTTAAATTCTCCATAGTAGGCCTATGTACTATTTGACATGTCTCGTGTTTTCTACATCGACTTATCCAGAAAAACGATTTTCAGAAGTTGCTTTCTATTCTTATCATAATAAAATCTTACCGCACGGGAACGTCCTCAAAGCTGGGATTCATTTCTGCGTACGTGTGTCGGCGTTCCTTGTTTTCCTGATGTGCCTATTGAGGTCACCTAGGTTATTATCACGTGACGCTATGTATTGCATTCCACAAAGTCAAACTGCAGTAAATGGCAATTTTTTCAAAGGTATATATGAGACAAAAATAAGTAGCTCACATAAGATTACATTTCAGGCAGTGTTTGTACGTTTGGGCCGTTTTATATTACGAGGCATTGTTCGTCATACGCTGGTGCTCAAAATGGTTGGTACACCTTTGGATATTTATGAAATTCGCTTACATGATAACTTCATGGGATCTTATAACTTTGCAAACACAATTAGCTACATGACAGAAAATGTAACAGAAACGTGTGAAATATGATTATTTTTAGGAGGGCGTTTTGTGCATGTCGCCTAAAATTGACATTTTTATTCACAAATTTTTCAGTATAAGAGAGCAAGTAATTCCGTATGAAGACGAATGCCATATTTCGTTGCGATGTATCATACCGTTAACATTTTCTGTTGAATTCCACGACACTCCTCGGCAAGTGTTTGTCGTGAATTATATTCCCTGAGCAATGCACGCCCCAATTTCTTTTTCTTTCTGTGGGTTCTGTCTGTAATCGTACAGGCGATGGTGTCGCATTGCAAAGAAATAATCTATGAAAATCGCACGAGCAAATTAGGTCCTATATTTAGTCGTTTTGGAAACGGTATGCCTTGGTGATATGAACAAAATTGCTTAAAGGGTTGATATTATTAGAACTCTAAATGCACCCTATAGTATATCATGCAAACAAATTAAGACAAGATATTTTGTTATATTATGATGTTGATGTGTCGGCCAGCTCATTTTTATTATTGTAATAAGTGTACTCTTGGCCTAAACTACAGCTGAATATACCTAAACCATATAAGTTTGTTCAATATCTTCCTAATCACGCCAAATATTATGACCCATAGATCATTTTCACACTTTCCAAAACAAAAAGTCCCTTAACAAACCGCCTGCTGTATTTTCGATCAAATATAAATTAAATAAAACCTAGGATCTGCAAGGAGAGAGAGAGAGAGAGAGAGAGAGAGAGCACATCCCAACCACCATATTGCCTAAATGATATACAGTACTTGGTGCCTTCGCCGTTGTAGGTTTTTACCATGAGGTTGTCATTAAAATCTAATCTGCATTCACAAGAACACTGTGGATTTCTGGGAGTGCCATTTTCCTTTTATTTTCAGTAATTTAGACAGTGATCATCCTGCATCATAAATATGGAAGGGTTACAGAAAAATACCTGTGCTGGCAACAAGAAGTAAAAAACTCTTCAAAAAGCTGACAAAACCATTACATAAAACATTATCATACACATTAAGCGTGATAAATTAAAATATTTTGAAAGAGACGATAAAATTCATTGTAGTATTCGGCTTATTTGATAGTAGTTGTGCCCATCAAGGGTCTACCAGTTCGTGATTTCACAGGAAAGCACCGACTGAAAGTTAGAGTACAAAATTAAATAAGATCTTGCCTTTATCTTCTGTCATCTTGGCATTGGAGTTATTCACATAGCTTACAAAGACCGAAATAACGATCAAATGTTTAAAAAATGTGACAAAATATCGTAAAATTCATAGGTGTATCATTCTTTTTTAGTCACAGTGTAGTTAGAAGTGTTTGGTATTTATTCTCGGACAAAAGTGTTATATACATACTGACCTCCAGTAGACTGGAAAGAAATGTGATCTGGAACGTCCCATTACAGTATAACACTCTTTGAAAGAGTAATATTTCAAGTAACTACCACAATTACCATGCAGCAACTAAATGCATTTCAAACTTTGAGGTCATGACGGTATTTAGCAGCACACGCAACTTATTGTAACGGCTGTGTAGGTCAATCCAAAGTAAAGAGGTGTATACATGTACTAGTAGATGATATAAAATCCCCTAATCGTTCAACAGATATTGTTTTAAGCTTCACCCATCCGGTCAAGGATTAGTCTCAGTTAACTCGGTAATATCAATACTCGTTCTGACTTCAACATTTTACTTTACACAGGGCTCTTAAGATCTACATTCCTTGCAACCGATGGCCTATAGGCATCCCTATGCGTAACAGGGGCGGATTTAGGGCGTCTTCTGGGTCTTCCTGAAGACGGTCAGATTTTCAAGTTTACATTGGCGGGTATCTAATTTTTCTGTCGGAAGACGGTCAAAAATGAAGAACGGATCAACAAAGATAATTTGGAAGACTGTCAGGAAATAACTCTGAATCCGCCCCTGCCGTAACGTAAAGCAAGTTTAAGCATAGAGGGTGTGTGTGTGTGTGTGCGAACATCAAAGGAAATAATGACTATCTACGCACTTCTCCACCCAGTGGAGATACTGTAAAAGAGACAAATGTTGATAGGATATTTTAAACTGATTACGTGGTTTTTGATAAGAGTAAAGGCTGTCAGCTGTTTCTCATACAAATTAAGTGTACGTGTTCTTCTCAGCATAGCATACAGTTGGAGAGTCTCAGAGTAATAATAATAATAATAATAATTTATTGTCATATTTATACAAATATAAAATGAAAGTTGGTATGATCTGTCGATAAAATGTGATACAGTGGAATTATTAAAATACATTTTGTTCATTAAAAATACGTACTGCTGATGGATAAAAACTATTCTTAGTGCGCGTGGAGGTTGCTTTTAATGACCGCAGTCGGCTTGTTGACATATGCATAAGTAGGCTATTCGCTGGGTGACCAGGGTCACTCGTGATTGACTTTACTTTCTTGAGCACTCGTCTCGTATACAAACATTCAATAGACGGCAGGTCCCTACCTACAATGCGCCTGGCAGTTTTTACTACGCGGTTGAGGCGATTCTTGTCCTCTACTGTAGCACTACTGTACCAGACGGTGAAAGATTGTGTTAGCACACTCTCAATCACAGCCCGGTAAAATTTTGCCAGCAGTTCTTGGTTGACA